TACGGCTTCCTCAGCTGCAAACAAGCGAACAACGCGCCAGCTGAAACGCGTCAGCTGCAACACACAGCGAAGCGAAGTGCACACATGCAGCGCAAGGATCAGCAAAACATAACCCCAGTAAACAACCATTGGGGCATAGGGACCAGCATTCGGCCAAGCAAAACAAAGAACGGCGCGAGGCCGTTCAAACCAGCCCTCGTGAACACCGTGCGATAGACTGCACTACGTTCGAACAAATCTCATCCGAACCGAAAGCAAGACCAGCCGCGGCCGCGGATGTTCGCTGTTCCTGATGCTTCGCGTGCACGGGAGCGTCTGCGCACAACAGGCCCGGCGCATGCGGTGTGAGCCCGTGGCGGGCGGTAGGCTGGGCCACTGCCCGCCAGCCCACCCACCCACCCGCCCGCCCCTAATGCCCCCAGCCCCCCCCCGCCCTCTTCGGCACGCTGCTTCTCTGTGACGCTGACCTCCGCCACACCAGCTTCACCAAAAACGTCCACGCCGTCCGCAAGTCGAAAACCGACCGAATCAATGTCGAAACGGAACCCGACGGACCAAAAGCAGCCTAGAAGGGCGCAGCGACAGCAACAACACAACAACTGACCGACCCAAACATGCCGAACGCATCCGACTGCGACGTGTCCTTCTGCTCGCCTCCAGGCTTCCTGCTGGAGCCGCTCCCGCTACGGTTGGCCGCAGGGCCTGCTGGCGCAGCCTGCGAGTGGCATCTCGCAAGTCCAGTTAACTTGAGCGAGGGGAGAATGCTGCGCTTGCTTGCTGGCGGGCCGTGAAGGTGTTTCTGGCCGATGAGTACAAGCGAAACGCGCCAGCACGAATGAACGAACAAAAAAACACCAGTCGTGCGAGCTCCACTAGGGAGCCCGCCCATGCCCATCAAGGTCTGGCGCGCAGGCCGAATCCCCAATAAGCACCACCATCACAATCAGAATGATAACCACCAGCATCATCAGCATCATCATCATCATTATCATCATCATCATCATCATCATCATCATCATCATCATCATCAGCATCATCATCATAATCATCATCATCATCATCACCATCACCATCACCATCACCGTCACCATTACCACCACCACCACCACCACCACCACCATCATCATCATCATCATCATCATCATCATCATCATCATCACCATCAGCGACTGCCCCTGATAATTTTTCGGGGGGATAAGAAAGTTCGGGGGTCTGGCGGGATAATCAACGATTTTCCCGGCGGAGGATGATGTTGATGATGATCCTGGGCGCTCGTGTAGACTGACCTTGTAGATCTTGGCACAAGACTGACTCGAGAGATCTCGAGTCTCGTGGCTACAACTTGCCATGCTCAGCGTGTTTGATGCTGTTGCTAGTCAGAATAAAATGATAACAACTTCGATTCGCAACTTCCTCCGGGGATTATCAAGTTCGGCCTACGCGCCCCTCTCCACAATTAAATCCTATTGCCACGGGATAATAAATATTCAGGGGGGGAAGGTGAGGGTATGTTTTGCTATCGGGGGCAATCGGCTAATCAGTATAATCATCATCATAATCAGCATCATCATAAGTACCACGATCATAGTCATCATCATCATCATCGTCATCATCAGCATCATCATCATCATCATCAGCATCATCATCATCATCATCATCATCATCATCATCATCATCATCATCATCATCATCATCTGCATCACCATCATCATCAACATCATCAGCATCACCATCACCAGCATCATCATCATGATCATCACCATCATCATCACCATCAGAATCACCATCACAACCACCATCGCCATCAACATTCCCATCAACACCACCACCATCATCATCAGCATCCTTATCATCATCATCATCAGCATCATCATCATCATCATCATCATCATCCTCATCCTCATCCTCATCCTCATATTCATCCTCCTCACTCTCCTCATCCTCATCCTCATCATCATTATCACCAGCATCATCACATCCGTTATCATCAGCATCATCATCTGCATCGTCATCATCGTCGTCGTCATCCACATCCTCATAACGCTCATCATCAGCAATAGCAGCAGCACCATCATCATCGTGAGAAGCACCATACTCATCATCATCATCATCATCATCCTCATCATCAGCATCATCATCACCACAATCATCATCACCATCATTATCGAGATCATAATCATCATCAACAGCATAAACAATATCATCACCATCACCATCACCAGCATCACCATCACCATCATCAACATCATCATCATCATCATAATCATAATCATCATCAGAATCACCATCGTCGTCACCATACACATTCTCATAATGATCATCATCAGCAGCAGCATCATCGTCAAAAGAAGTATTATCATCAACATCATCAACAACATCATCATTATCGTCATTAGCAATAGCGGCATCATCATCACAATCATCATCGCCATCGTCACCATCATCAGCAGCATCATCATAAGCATCATTATCATCGTCATGATCGTTCACCGACGCGGTCTACAATCAGGTCCCTGGGCTCTGCGCACGGGGCTTCCGCGAAGAGCGGCTGCTGCGCAAATATTGCTGAAGACCGGGAGCTACAAAAGGAACGGCTGGCTGAAACACACAACGAGAAGGAGGAGAAGCCGAGGGACCGCTGGTCTTTCGGCAGGCACAGACTATGTACCCAGCGGGTCGAATCACAACCTGGCAAGCACTCACAGCAGCCCTAGCAAGGGGCAGAAGCAACTTTGCCAATAATGCGATAGGGGAGCAGCAGGCGTGCCGGAAACGGAGGAGGGGCCGGGAGCAGGAGGGAAGCAAAGTTTGATTTAGGACGGCAGGGAGGCGGGGAGGAGCAGCAGCAAGAATTTAGGCGGCAGAAGTTGCAGCAGAAGCAGGTTCCTCCTCCGCCTCCCCCGTCCAACCCACCTTATCCTGCTCCTGCTCCTTCCCTTCTCGGTCGCCCTCCTCGTCATATCATTGAACACGAGGTCCTCCTCATCCATCTCTCCTACTTAAAATAGATAGCGCCTCCTCGTCTGACCACCAGAAGTGTCACTAGAGCGGCCTGGCGTTTCGCCTGAGACTTCCTTTCCGGAAGCCTGAATTTCCCAGCGATTGCACGGATGGAGGGCGGCTAGTTTTCAAAAAACCCAAATTAAAGGTGGCCTCCGCCTCGGGTTGCTCCGTTATCCGGTTGCCCGGCATTCCCAGGGTTACTCGGGATTGCCTGGTTGCCCAATTGGGTTGCCTGGGGTGCCCGCTTGCCTGGTTGCCCTTGTTGCCCAAACTGCCCGATTGCCGCATTGCCGGGCTGCACGGGTTGCCCAGTTGCCCGGGTTGCCCAGTTGTCTGGTTGCCAAGCCATGCAAAGCCAACGCCAGGCAATGTCAATCAATGCCAAGCCATGCCGAGAAAATGCCAAGCAATGACAAGCACCGCCAAGCAACGCCGAGTAGCGCCTAGCAATGCCAAGCAACGCCAAGCAATGCCAAGCAAATCAAAGCCAACGCCAAGCACTGCCAAGCAACGCCAAGCGATGCAATGCAAAGCAATGCAAAGCAATGCAAAACAATGCCAAGCATTGCCAAGCATTGCCACGCAATGTTAAGCAGTGCGTCCTTGCTTCCATGGAGCTCTCGCCTTAAAGCTCCGCACATGCCTCTTAACAGCTTGTAAGAGTTGCAAAGATGGAGGGCGGGTTGAATTCGAAAAGGAGCTCTCGCCTAAGGGCCGCGCGCAGTCGTCTTAAACGATTGCCACAGTTACAAGGATGGAGGGCGTTTCTTTTTCAAAATGAGCTCGCGCGTAAGCGCCGTGCACATTCACCTTGAACGTTATCGTCAGCTACATGCATGGAAGACTGCACCTTTTCAGAATTGGGCTCTCGCTTGAAACATCCTTCTTAAAACGAAAGACCAGAAGCGTGAACAGGTGCTGAAACTGCACAAGATGGATTTATCGCTCAAGGTTTCCTCGAAGCGCGTGACCAGACATGTAAACTAGTGCAGCAATCACAAAGACGGGGGGGGCGGTTCTTTGTTAGAACGGGGATTTCGCTGCCACATTCTCTACCATTCGCTGGAAGGGTGCAAGACAGCTCTTTTTCAAAACTGCTCTCTTGCCAGAACGGCAGGCCCATAGGGTGCTGGACTATCAAGAAGGCGCTTGCTGTAGTGGAAAGGAAGGCTTGTAGGGGATGGGGAGGAGGGAACTTGAGGCGGGAGGGTCTACTGCAGCATCGTTGATGTAGATTAGGTTGACTCTGGTCCTCCTCATCCCCGCTTCCTCTTCCTAAACTAATCCTCCTCCTCCTCCTCCTGCTCCTACTCCTCCTCCTCCTCCTCCTCCTCCTCCTCCTCCTCCTCCTGTTTCTTGAACGTCCCCTCTTCCTCGTTCTGATCCGTATCATCCACCACCGCTTCCCCCTAACTCCTCTTGATTATGATCATCATCATGATGCTTCCCCCTCCGGCTCCTTCCCCTGCTCCTCCTCCTCCAGCTGCTCCTCCTCCTCCTCCTCCTCCTCATCCTCCTCCTCCTCCATCTCCTCCTCCTACTCCTACTCATATTCCTATTCATATATACTCATATTCCTGTCTTTGTCGTCTGCTCCTCCACTCCTTCTTCCTCCTTCTCTTCCGCCCTGCTTCCCCTTGCCCCCCGCCCCCCCCTCTCCCAACGCACGCACTCCTCCGCCGCCCTCCCCCCTCCTCCCACCTCCATGCCGAGCACCACCCCCACCCCCCACCCCACCCCCGGAGACCCTGGGGCGTCCTTGGAGGCCTCCAGGGGGGGCACACGAAACAACCAACAGCGCCTGAAACCCTCGAGCCCTCGATCATCTGTCCTCGATCCTCGACCCTGGGTCCCCGTTCGTCATCGATCCTCGGTCCTCGATCATCGGACCATGATCCTTGACAGTCGTCTCGAGCCTCGATCGTCATCAGCCCTCAATATTCCTCGATTGTCGGTCCTCGATCAACCTCGATCCTCGACCATCAAGCGCGTCCCGCCTCGCCAGGCGGGGAGCGCATGTTGTTGACGTCGACGGCGCCCCACCGCCACTGGGGCCGCCGCGTTTGCTACCTACTCCTCGTCATCCGTCTCCTTCCTCGTCATCCTCCTCCTCCTGCTGCTGCTGCTGCTCCTCCTCCTCCTCCTCCTCCTCCTCCTCCTCCTCCACAGCTGCTCCTCCTCCTCCTCCTCCTCCGCCTCCTCCTTCTCCTCCTCCTCCTCCGCCTCCTCCTCCCTCCCTCCCTCCCTCGCGTCCTCCTCCTCCTCCTCCTCCTCCTCCTCCTCCTCCTCCTCCTCCTCCTCCTCCTCCTCCTCCTCCTCCTCCCCCTCTTCCTCCTCCTCATATGTCTCGTCCTCCTCTCCTCCTCCTCCTCCTCCTCTCCTCCTCCTCCTCCTCCTCCTCCTCCTCCTCCTCATCCTCCTCCTCCTCCTCCTCCTCCTCCTCCTCCTCCTCCTCCTCCTCTTCCCCCTCCTCCTCATCCCCATAATCCTCCAGCACATCATTATCATCGTCAGCAGCAGTATGGACATGACCATCATCATCAGCAGCATCATCAGCGTCGACGGCAGCACCATCGTCGTCAGCAGGGCATCATCATCATCATCATCATCATCATCATCATCATCATCATCATCATCATCATCATCATCATCATCATCATCATCAGCATCATCATCATCAGCATCATCATCATCATCATCATCATCATCATCATCATCATCATCAGCAGCATCATCAGCATCATCATCATCATCACCATCATCACCATCATAATCATCATCACATCATCATCATCATCATCCATCATCATCATCATCATCAGCATCATCATCAGCAGCATCATCATCATCATCATCATCATCACAGCAGCAGCAGCAGCAGCAGCAGCATCATCATCATCATCATCATCATCATCATCATCATCATCATCATCGTCATCACCATCATCATCATCATCATCAGCAGCATCAGCATCATCATCATCATCATCAGCATCATCATCATCATCATCAGCATCAGCATCATCATCATCATCATCAGCATCATCATCAGCATCATCATCATCGTCAGCATCAGAATCATCATATCAGTAGCATCATCATCATCAGCATCATCATCGTCAGCATCAGCATCATCATCAGCAGCATCATCATCAGCAGCATCAGCATCAGCATCATCATCAGCAGCAGCATCATCAGCAGCATCATCATCAGCAGCATCACCAGAACCATCAGAATAAACAACATCATCAGATCAACATCACAGTCAGCAGCATCATCATCATCAGCATCATCAGTATCAGCAGCATCATCGTCGTCAGCATCAGCATTAGCATCAGCATCATCAGCATCATCATCAACATCATCGTCGTCATAATCATCCGCGTCTTCCTCCTCGTGTGCAGCATAAGCAAGGTCATCCTCATCATTATGAGCATCGTCATCATTACCATCATCAGCATCAGCATCGTCATCAGAAACACCAGCATCAGCCATCACCCGCATGATCACCAGCATCATCAGCATCATCAGCAGCGGCAGCCGCATCATCATCAGCATCATCATCATCATCAGCAGCATCATCATAAGCAGAATCAGCATCATCAGCAGCATCAGTATCAGCATTAGCATCAGCATCTTCACCATCATCAGCATCGTCAGCATCGCCGCCCTTCTTCTCCCTACTGCACGTCCCCCCATCCCTCACTCCGTCCATCCATCATCAGAGTATCATGCACCTCCTGCCAGACCTGCGCAGTATTAGCCACCTCCTCATCCTGCTCACCACCACCATCATTAGCATTGTCAACATCAGCAATCAACCGTACATCGCGTCGTCATCATCAGCATCAGCATCACCAACATCATCATCACCATCGCATCAGCATCACCATCATCACAAGAATCATCATCATTAGCATCATCATCATCAGCGTCATCGCCAGCGTCATCATCATCGAGATCATCAGCATCATCATCATCACCAGCATCATCATCATCAGCAGCATCATCATCGTCATCATCATCGGCAGCAGCATCATCGTCATCAACAGCATCATCAGCACCATCAGCATCAACATCCTCAACATCATCATCAACAGCATCATCACAACCATCATCGTCATAAGCATCGTCATTGTCATCGGCATTATCACCAGCGTCATCACCATTGTCGTCATCACTACGGTCATTATCGTCATCATCAGCATTAGTATCAGCAGTATCAACACCACAATCAGCATAATATGCATCAGCATCGGCATCGGCATCACGATCAGCATCAGCATCATCATCACAATCATCAGAGTCATGATCGTCACCATAAGTATCGTCAGCATCGCCAACGTGTTCATCATCACCGCCACCAGCATCACATTGCTCATCATCCTCTCAGCCATTACCATCACCATCATCATTACCACTATCGCCACCATCGTCGTCATCATCAACATCGTCACCACCATCACCATTATCATAATCAACACCACCATCACCACCACCAACAACATTTGTAATCATCATCCACAGTTACATCATATTTCTTCCCTCCTCTTCGCCGCGGGCTCAAGCCAGCAGGTTGGTTCAGCTCTTCTGTTCCTCCTCCCTCCTCCTCCTCCTCCTCCTCCTCCTCCTCCTCCTCCTCCTCCGCAGCGAACAAGTTCTACAGCGACAGCGCCGCCAACCTGAAGGAGAAGAACAAGGAGAACGAGAACACCGACCTGAGCAGCCTCGGCCCCCCCGTCATCACTGTCTCTTGGATGGTCATGAACGCGGCGAAGAAGGCAGCCCAGGGCGCAGGAGTGGAGACGTTGAACAAGTTCTGGGACACGCACCTGGAGGACCAGCCGCCGGTGCACATCACCTCGTACATCACACAATTCTCGGTGAAGGTGCCGAGGGGAGATCACTCGAAGCGTACGCAGGGCAAGGTCAAGCTCGTCTTTCGTCTGAACGGCACGCACGAGAGAGCTCTCATGTTGAGGCAAATCCTCGATCATATTCTCAATGAAGCAAGCGCCGAGAGATTGGTGGGCACTGCTCCGAAGGGTCAGCTCGAGAGGCAGATCGAGGCACTGGTGTACAAGCGCAAATACGACCTCGTGTGATGCAGTAGAGAGCGAAACGAATTCGGACGGAAGATGCTGCTCATTCTCAGATGTTGTATGGTAGCCAGCCCCGCATGATCCGACCAGGGGCACATCAAAGACAATATTTCGTGCAGGTAGTGCTAGATTGACATCCATGAGTTTGGAGAATGGTGGTTGAAGGAGGCCTGAATGTGGACAGTCCGAAAACGTTGCCAAACCATTTTTACTGGAACTGATCAAATCTCCTGGGGATATGAGTTGTGCAATATCATCGTCGAACCGTGCCAGACCGACCTTGGAGGTGGGACCAGATGGAATGAGATATGCTGCGTGTCGGCCTCATCACGCGAGTGAGCAGAGCAGAGCGCAGTTCGAAGCTTGGACATCGAGGACCCGAGCTGAGAAGGGATCTCTGATGGTGGCCAGGCCGTCCTCCCCCACTGCTCCTCTCCGCTCCTCCCGCTCGCAGGTGTCGGCCCGTGCGCAGCCGCGGACCGCTGGCCTCCTCCTCCCTCCTGCCCTGCCCTCCAGCGCGCGCCTGGCGCAGCTGGTCAAGCGCGGGATCGTCATAGACGTCCGTGCCGCGGGGAGGGACGGGTGGGTGGGGAGGTCGTCGGTCGTCGTCGAGGGGGGAGGAGTGCTGCAGAGTGGCCGCCGCCGATGCTGATAGAGCCGAAGGACGGCGTTCGGCTTCGAAGGGGGAGTCGGCGCATCCGAAGCCCAAAGCTCGGAGGGTCAAGAATTCGAGACAACGAGTGTAGTATCGACTGGTGCCCGCAGTCAACCCTTGCATGAACATCCATGCCTGAGGTGTGTGTCTTCAGGGCCAGCGGGGGTGACTCCCCCCAGCGGGGGCCCCTCTCAGAAAGCTTTGGATTTGCTTGGGGTTTCGCCCCACGTAGGTACCATTATCGGCCTTGTAAAACTCTCCCAGTGTTGTGTCCCATCTCTCTGAGTGCTGCTGGTACCCTGCGTCGCTTAGTCTTGGCCTGGTTCCTCCTCCTCCTCCTCCTCGTCCTCGTCCTCCTCCTCCTCCTCCTCCTCCTCCTCCTCCTCATCATCATCATCATCATCATCATCATCATCATCATCCTAATCATCCTCATCATCATCATCATCATCATCATCATCATCATCACCCTCATTATCCTCCTCCTCCTGCTCCTGTTTCTGCTCCTCCTCCTCCTCCTCCTCCTCTTCATCATCCTTCTCTTCATCATCCTCCTCCTTTTCCTCCTCCTTGAATTCCATATTCCTCCTCCTCCTCCTCCACCTCATCCTCCTCCCCTTCCTCTTCCTCCTCCTTGCAGGAGCGGGCGCGGGCCTTTTAGGACATTGAACCAAAGCGCGGCGGCCCACACTCTGTCTCGCACGCGCCGCACTGGCGACGAAGCGGGCGGAAGCAAGGAATCGCAGTGACGGGCGCGAAGGGGGCGCGACCGCCCAGAGAGCGGGAGGTGAAGGAAAGGGTAGGCAGTCATGGTTCTTCACACTACGAAATAACCATGGCCATTGACTGTGCACAATTTCAGTTCCAGAATGTTAAATTACTTCAACTATCTACTCACGAATGCGATGCCCAGCGCACCAGGCACGCCCAAATGGAACACTCGCCCTCAGAAATGGAAGGCGGCGCCCCGGCAGCCTCGGAAGTGGCACCAGGGTGCTCCAGAACCCTTCGGTGTCATCGTGCTCTGAACCAGCCGATTCGCCTGCTTGTTCAGAAGTCGGTTTGCCTGCTTACGCTCTCTCTCTCTCTCTCTCTTTCTCTCTCTCTCTCTCTCTCTCTCATTCTGGGCAGCAGAAGGGGGCTTACGCGTAGCTCCCGTTGTACTGCTCTGGTAAAAGCTGTTCTAGTTCTACAACTGATGAATTCAAGATCGATTGTGTCAATTAGAAATGTCTTTGACCGGGTAGTCAGGCTGCAGACTGACCAAGAACAGGTCTGTCTCCGAGTGAAG